AATACCACATTATTGTTATTTTATTTATAAATAATACTCCATCTGTCCCAAAATAATTGTCCTACTTTGACCTTCACACACATTAAGAAAATGAATTTGACTTCACGCTGTAGCGACACTGTTTGGCACTGTAGCGACATTGTTTTGCACTGTAGCGACACTGTTTGACACTGTTTTGCACTGTTTGACACTGTTTTGTATAGATTTGTTTACCAAATAAGGAAAATTTCAAAGTAGGATAATTATTTTGGGACATCCATTTTGGGAAAGCAGGACATTTATTTCGGGACGGAGGGAGTATTACGTAATACAGTACTCCCTCCGTTCCTATTATATCTTCCAACTTTCCTTTTTCACCCGTTCCAATTAAACTTCCACTTTCCCTTTGTGGTAAAGAATTCGTGGTTCACAACATTTCTTATACATTTCTCTCTCCTCTGCACAACTCTCCACTACACAATACCCACTTTTCTTAAATTGTGTGCCAAAGTGAAATGGAAGATATAATAGGAAAGGAGAGAATACATTTTAAAAATGAAAGAATAAACAGATATTTTGGGCGATTTTTTTATTAACACAAAACACGAAACAAAATATCATTTGCCAAACAGATCATATAAACCAACTGCGAGGCCGTTAGCAAATCTCCACTCACTGGCTCGTCTAGTCACAAAGTCACAAAGGTCTGCCATTTTTTATGAGAGTCTGCCAGATATTTAGTGCTCACATTTTGCATTAACTTTCTTTTTTGGAAAAGCGGCATAAAAAATTCCTTGAGTTTGTCTGAATCATTGTTTCTTTGAATATTTGTGACGTTATCTCAATCTTTCCTATCAAATCTATAAAAAAAATCTGCGGGTACCGGGTCAGAGATCCACTTTATATCTATCAAATTGAGATTATAATTCAATTTACATCCTCCCAACGTATCGTCCGTCCGATCGGGGTTGGAGAGTCCTCAGGGATGAGGTGTCATCCTTTTTCCTATCAAATTTACTGATTCAATTTAAATGCATATGAGTAATGTGTATTGGCATATCATAATATATATTGGAACATATTTTTACAGTTTTTATCGTTGCCATTGTTTTATATGCATTGAAAATATATAGTTGTACACCGTACAAAATATGACACACTTAACAATACGGAGCAACAAATATTGATCTTATGACATTAGGAATTTTCCGCTAGTAATATTTCAATCTTAGATTAGGCTCGAAGTCAAAGAGATGAATTTATACATGACTTAAATAAACAAGTAAGATCATTTTCAGAAAAAAAGTACAGACCATAATTAATCATATATGAATAATAATAAAAATACGTAGTACATGTATATCATACGGAGTAGTAGAACAGATTTGAATAAAATATGTATATCATACTTTCACAAGATCAAACAAGATTTAAACAAATTGAACCAAACTTGAATGGGTAATGACCGTCAGTGGAGTAGCTGGACTCGTAGCTAGGAGGTGCCAAAAAAAGTTAGTCTCGAATTCCGGTCAAGACAAATGCAATGAGAGGTTTCTATGTAAAAAGCATATGTCTCTACAAGTATTTGGATTATAGCTTTACTTTTTATCTGTCGGTCTGTGAATAAAATCTAATTTATATCCTCCTAATTAAGTGCCCCGCTTATAGGAAAGCTTTTGGGATGAGGTATTGACGTGTCATCCTTTTAGAATGAGCGTAATGAGCCATTAGACAATCATGAGAATGCACATTTATATTCTGTACAAATTCTAAATTTTTAATGATAATATGATATGATTGCCGTAGACACCATTTTTTTTTTTGAGAAATAAACCGAAAAAATGTATTATCCCTCTTGATATCAAAATTATGACGTCTGATCTTGCGGGCTGTCCGAACTAAAGGAAGCCCGTACATACAGAAAGAGAGAATTACCAATAAATATACTACTCCGTAGTATATACGGAGTATAAAAAAAGATGGTAGAACTTGTGAAAGGCCAAGATCGTAAAACAAAGGTTTTCTCTGGGTCAGTAAATATTCTCACTCTCTTTAATTTATGGAGTATACAAGGAAAAAGAGATGCTAGCTAAAAAAAGAGAGACGCTAGCAAAATCAGATTAAAAACTTTTTAGAGTTAATTCCCTAAATAGGATTAAAACAATGAAAAAATGCACAAATAGGACTTCCATGTTCCATAGGACTAAAAATACATTCATTTGACAAAATTACCCTTAATGAAATTCTGGTCTATTTACAATTAATAAAAAATTTAAACTCTAGTTTAATTTGCCGCTTCCAGCGCACTCGGCAGAACCTACTGTCACTATTCATGTCGTTGCCGCTCTAGCCACTGCCGTCGCTCCAGCCACCGCCACTCCAGACGCCGCTGCCGCTCCAGACGCCGATGCCGCTCCAGCCGCCGCTGCTCCAGCCGCCGCCGCTCCAGCCGCCGCCACTACTTGTTCAGTGTCGCCGCCGCTTCAAGGACCACCAGGCGATGGCTGTCAGTTTTGAAAACCAAAAACTGTCATCTTGCTGCACCAAAACACCGTTTTTTCACATAAGAAGCAAATATAATAATGACAGTTTTTTCCTTTAAATTTGGCAGTTTGGCAAAGGTAATAAGAAATTTTCTGCCATAAGATATTAGTCAATTCTGCCATAAGATTGGCAATACATTCAAATTAATGTTCAAATAAAAAAAATTCTGCCACAGTATAATTTCCTGTACTACATGAAACTGCCAAAAACTTGTCAAAATGTACAACCGGTATTTAAAATCGGAAAAACATTTTTTAACTGAAAATTTTAAATTCTTCCAAAAAATAATAAAATCAATAAGAAATCTGTTATATAAAGGAAAGATTGGAGGTGCACAAAGAAGAATAAGAACTAGAAGAATAAGAACGAGGAGAAGAAGAAGAAAAGAAGAAGAAAGAAAGGAGGAGTGAAAGAAGAAACCTGGAACCATCGTGGAATCAGGGGCAGCGCCTAAGGGGTGTAGCGGCGAGAGGAGAGGCACACTCCATGGCGCCGGCAGTCCTTCTCCTCGGCAAAGAAAAATCGAAGAGTTGCGATGCACATAGAGCAGAGCCGCAGGTCTGATGAGGCGCAACCCTGAAGACATAATTAGAAAACTAGGGTTTTGATGTTAATATATATGAGGGCATAATGGTAATCTGGAGTCCTATTTAGGGAATTAAAAATTTGTAGTCCTATTTAGGAAATTAAGTTTAGTTTTAGTCCTATATAGGACAATTACTAAACTTTTTAATCATCTGATCGATTTGATTCATTTGAATGTTTATGATCTAAACTTTTTAATAGAATTTGAGTGTTTCTAATTTGATCTAAACTTTTCTAATGAAATTTAAATTTTATAGATCTATTTAGAATTAGATTTAGCATCTCCATTTTATTATTATATATATATATATATATATATATATATATATATATATATATATATATGTATTGGTTCAAATAAGAACATGATCTTAGAAGAGAAACGAGAACAAATCTGGACCGTTAGATTTGCTTTAAGTGGAATTCAATGTGCATTAGATGAAACTGTGATATGCATTAAGTGAAATTGAAATGTGCAGCTTAAATGGTACAATACAGTGACATTATGTGACGTTGAATGGTGCATTAGGTTAAACTGAAATGTGCATAAGGTGAAACTAAAATGTGCAGAATAAAAGGTGCGATGTGATGTTATTTTCGTATCTTTTATTCCGCACATTTTAGTTTAATCTAATGCACACTCGAGTTTAAATTATTATTATGCAAATTTCAATATCATTTAATGCACATTTCAGTTACACATAATAAAATCCAACGATCCAGATTCGTTCTTATTTCTCTCATGGGAGTCCGTTCTTACTGGAACCGCTCCCTATATATATATATATATAGACACACACACACACAATTAGAGTTTTTTGTTGAGATTTTTGTGATACACGTTAAAAAATTTATGGAGTTGAATGTGCGTATTGATATTGTAATTAAGACAAACAATGATATATCACACTATAATGTCACAGATCACTCTCTAAACATTTCATGAGCTCAATGAAAATATTGTTTAGCCATTTTTAGAACTTGATTTTTTGAAACGAATCATAATTTTAATAATGATAATTATGTTAATAATAATAAATTAATATATAATACACCAATTTAACTACACCTACTAGAATAGTAATATCACCGATGGTACTAATAACAATAATATTAAAAATAACAATAATAATAGTTTTTTTATCTAATCTGAATATTGGGACATGATGATGCGGTACAGCCGTACGGTTATTAAGAAAATGAGTTTATGTGATTGATGTTGAATTAATAAAGTAAGAATAAATAAGAATGATTTAAAACTACACAAACTTTACCAAATTTAATATGATACAATCTTAATCAAATAGATCGAAAAGGAAAGATGGGACAATCGGTACCATTTTTTTCAGTAAATTTGAGTGGGTCCATAGCTGACTTAGCCCCTCTTGCCTACGCCCCTGCTTCATGGATCCCACTCTAGCCATGGACGTCATCATAACGTTTTAAGATACTGGTGGATCAATAGTTACTTCCTCCGTCCCAATAAAAACTTCGGTTTTGACCGAGTACACATATTAAGATAGTGAGAATTGTGTGATGGAGAGTTGTGTAGAGGGTAGAGAAATGTGTAAGAATGTGTAAGAACGATTGTGAACCACAAATTCTTTGGCAAAAAGGGAAAGAGAAGATAAATTTGGGACGAAAGAAAAAGGAAAGTATGAAGATAATTCTGAGATGGAAGGAGTAGTGATTACCCACCCTCATGACTCATCATTTTGTACCATTCATGATTTAAAATAATTTGGGTGCTTGAATGGCCTTTCAATAATTGGAGGTGTAAGGTCACTTTTCCCTTTTAGTCCCCTCACCTTCCCCTCTCTCTCTCTCATTATGTGTTTTTGAATGTCAGCAAGTTGCAACTTTGCAAGTACACACAATATGCAAAAATGGAGGGGCATAATCTAGTCATATGCTGTAGTACCATGTACTATAATGCGTTACCTCTCTGTCTATTTCCGGTATGGAGCACCCATTACAATAATATTATTATAATGAAGAAAAGGAGGACAAGAAACAAAGGAAGAAAAAAACTCACCAAATTCTACAGTACTGGTTGCAGACATTACATAAACTACTTCTGCTGAATGACCCAGACAGGGCCACATGCAGAGCACAACCAGTCAAATGACCAAATGGCCCCAAAGGATCAAATGCCATTCTTTCCACATCATCATCATCATTTACATAACAGAACATGCATTGGGGTTCTCATCACTGAACATATTTGGGTACCCATACCCATATACCTCCTGGGCAAACCTTTGTTGGTGAGGATGAGGATTCATTTGGTAATGGCTTTGAGCGGGGTAATAGTAGTACAGCTCATGCTTTCTCAGTTCCAACTTTGGGTCATCTTGATGAACAACTTCACCTTCCTCCTCTTTCTTCTCCCCTGCGTTATCCGTCGTCGTTCCTTCTTCGCCCTCCTTCTTTTCCTCATTCTCATCTGCCGCTTTCTTCCCCTCCTCTTTTTTCTCCTCTTTGTCTTCCTCCGTCTTCTTCTCTTCCTTTTTCGGCTCCACCTTCACCACCACCGCTCGTTTGCCCGTCTTCTTGACCACATAGTCTACTAAGCTCTCCGCATCGAAAACGCCATTCACCGTGACTTGCGAGCTCTTGAAGTCCGGTTCCACACTCTCCACTCCTACAAGACGTTGAATCAAATTTATTACCAATGGAAAACTTCCAGACTAAACATGTTCGTCCATTCCAAAAGAAGTATAAGATACATTGGGGTTAATAGGAAGAGTGGTGACAAATCTTACATATTGATTTATTACTTTATACTTGACCGGTGTTGGATAAACACATCATCATTTCGACACGATCTTTTAGAGGAAATATATCTTCTATTTTTCAGTTGTAATCTTCTAAAAGGAATATAGAAGTCAACAAAAAGAAAAAAGATCGAATCAAAAGTGAAAAGGATAAATCGAGACAATAAAAAGTTAGTGAAGTTGAAATTGAGAAAGTATTCATATTTTTGAGATAAATAAGAAAATATTTTTTCTCAAATAAAAGGGTCTTTGCACACTTCTTAAAAATATGGCTTATTTACTATTAAAAAATAATTATAGAATGAACCATATATAACTTTATTGTACTTCTCACACCTTTAATTTCAGTGTTCATAAAAAGAAGGAAAATAAATGATAATTTACTTTAATTTCTTTACTGGAAATGGAGGACCATCACTTTTGAAAGCAGTAGTAAGGATGGAGGATGTTTTTACTTGGACCGTAATTTGGTGGTCTGGTCTGGTCTGAACTGGTCTGGTTTTTTGTATTTTTATAACTATCCAAGTCTGATCTGGTTGGGACGAATTACAGTCCAAGTAAAAACATCCTAATACGTTTTTCTTTTATAGGACGGAATTAGTCGTACTTTTAAGACAGACCAAAGATACACTCTCATGTGCGCACATGAACCCTGTTTAAGACCTATATATGAAGTAATTTCTTATCACCTAAACAAAAAATTAGGCCTTCTAGAGTCATATTAGCCCACTTGTCCTCATAATCACCATCCACTTTAATAGTGGAGTGACTGGAGTCAGCACACTGGGAAAAATGAATGAGGTGATGATGAAAAAAATTGTGATTAGGATTTAGGAGAGAAAGTGAATCATGACTCGATATATTTTTACTCTGTTAGTTAATGGGTATAATGGAAAATGTCACTGGAATCAAAAGTTCCCAAACATCCATTCACCTCACTTAGTGGACTCTTCCACAACTTTCAAAGATTCCTATGACTTAGGCTTTGAATTCTTTAGATCTCCAGGCCACAGAATATTCAAGAAAGAATATCTTATCCTAGTCAATGTTCAGATAGTGAAAGGTTGATAATATAAGCATCACAATGATGGCATCATTCTGTTTTCTAATAATAATGATAATAATATTCTGTGATAAAAAGAACCGGCCTTTTTCTTTTTAAAAGGCGAAAAGTGCAATAATAATATGGAAATGTTATTATTAAATGATGATTATTATAATTAATTTAATTATAAGCAGAAAAATGAATGTGCAATAAGAACTGAAAGTGACATGAAATTTGATAAAGACCTTGAAACAAACCCAATTCCAACTGCTGTCATTAATGAATGAATTAATTGGTTAATTAATTGCAAAGAAAGGCAGAAAAGGACCACCTTTCATTCTCAAAATCTTCCTTTTGATGGCTTCAGCACAAGCCTCACAATGCATGTGAGCTTTCAAAACGACTGCAATCACCTGGAGATAACACCAAAACCGTTTTAATCTTTTCTTACTTTACAAAATCCTCCACATACATACATAATACATGACCCTTTTATTATTATTATCACTCAATAACAGCCAAAAATTAAGCAGGAATTAAACTTGGCGTGACTGAACAATCCAATTCAATGAACCAACCTCTGGCTTTTTCTCCTCCGGCTTAGCAACCTCCTCCGGCGGCTTCTTAGGCTCCTCCTCTGCCGGCGGTGGCTTGGGGATGGGAGATAGGAGCTCCACCTGGCGGTGGCTCTTCTTCTGCACCCTCTCTAACACCTTCAGTGGATCTGCTTTTTCCCCTTTCACTACAACCTTATGAGTCTTGCAATCAGTCAACACATCCTCAACTCCTACACCCAAATTTTCAAAAAAGAACATTAAATCTAAAATTTAAAAAAGAATCTTTCTTTGCTATAAAACTCTAGTTAACTGATTTCATTACCATCGAAATCTTTAAGGCAGCGTCGGACTTTCCGAGCGCAGCCTTCGCAATGCATGAAAACTCTCAACACAATCTCTTGAGGCGGCGGCGGCTCTTTGGATTCTTCCGCCGGAGCCTCGACCTTCTTCTCATCTCCGCCGGCGGCGCTGGGCGGGTCCTCGTTAGTTGCAGCAGGTTTTTTCGCTTCAGCGGCGGGTTTCTTCTCCTCCTACACAAAGGGTGGAGGGAATTTCACAAGAAAAGAATCCAAGTTAGAGAAACTGACAGAGACGGAAATGCAGAATAAAGAAGAGAAACCAATTAATTAGCCTTCTTTAGCTTTACCTCTCCCATTGGAGTTTGCAGAAGCTAGAGAGAGCTGTGGTGAAGCTGGGCAGGGCTATCTTTAAACAGTGCAGAGTGACTCCTTTTCTCTCTCTAAAGTATGGGGCTAGAATGATGCCATCAGATTTGGGGGCACCGATTTATTATCGTTGGTCATTCAGATTCGGTGTATATATGGAATTAAAATTTAAGTCCTTTCAGAAATTATAAAAAATAAAAAAATGTTCTAGATAATTCATAATTTCACCTACGCCCTCACTCCTCAGTTCAAGTTGGGTGCATCTATTTATATTTTACAACTATGACGTACGGAGTATATCGTTTGGACACCCCCACATAATAATTTGCATGCAAGTATATATCAAAATGTAGATACACAGTATACAAGGTAGAGGGCCGCTTTGAAAGATATTACCCTACTGTCACTACCATTCAGATATGAAGAGGAGTTATAATTATTAACAAAAAGGAGTTTGTGACTGATATGAATTGATAAAAGTAAAATTGATATGAATTTATATGTTAAGACTCCTTTTTATTTGAACTCTCTCATATATTCCCTCCGGTTTCAAATGAAATTCACACTTTCCTTTTTGGGTAGATCCAAAATAAACTTCACACTTCTTCTCTCTTCCTTATTTGGTAAATTATCTACATCAAAACAGTGCAAAACAGTATCAAACAGTGTCAAACAGTGTCATAACAGTGTACTCTACAGTAAAGTCAAATTTATTTCATTAATTTGTGTGAAGTTAAAGTGTGAATTTCATTTGGGACCAGAGGGAGTATATATATATGTGTGTGTACACACACACATATATGAAGATCTATACAAGGAGCTATTTGAAATACAAAGTGTTCCTAATTTACAAAATACAAATTAGCCTTAAGACTGTGCATTTGAAAGATCTAGTGGCTAAAAAACGCATGATTGTATTTTGGTAATAAAATAAAACTTTTTGAGATGCAACACTTTGAACGTTAATATGCAAATGTATATTTGATCGCAGTAGACTCAATATTATATTATAGTATATTACTCTAACTATGGTTTCAATGGTTATGAAAAAAACTCAATACGTTGAGTTGTTGAGGCTCCGATGCTAGGACTCGATATTGATGGCTGAGGCACGACTTGGAATTGTGGCAGACTTATTCCGGTTTAACTGGTGAGTTTTTCCCTCGGGGAAGGGTAGTTTCTAATCTTATTTCCCAAAATATGGTACTTTTAAACTTAGGCTAAAGGGTCAAATAGGTCTCTGTACTCATATCAATAGCTCAATTGGGTACCCGAACTAAAAAAAGGTCCAATCCAATCCTCCAACTCTTCAAAATCGTTCAATTTTTTCGTTTAGCCGGTAAACTCCCGGTACTCAATTGAGCTATTGATATGAGTACAGGGACCTATTTGACCTTTTAGCCTTAAACTTATTTCCCAAATAGGAGCATTTTTTCTCAGTTATCATGCCATGTCACCACCTGAATTAAATTTCATTTCCACTTCACTAATTCGCCACATTACAAGTCCATGTCATCAATCCATGTGATACATGTATCCTGTCATATAAAAATAAAAAACAAGTTGAAGGCAATGGGAATCGTCGAACCCAGAGCTCTCATTGAATCCTCATGGTTTAAAGTTTAAACCATTGCACCATCGTCGTCGTCGTTGTTATTATTATTATTATTATTATTATTATTATTATTATTGATGGAGTATATGGCCCAGGAACCCCCGGCCCATAGACTCCTACTATTCTAATGGAGATCCAATAGGCCCAGGAAGCACAACAGGCCCAAATCACGGTGCCCCAAGCACTAAGCAACCCACGTGGCACGCTAGGGGCGCCTTCGGCCCCCTGGCCGAAGGCTCCAATTCTCACAGGATGGCCAAATCAAGAAAACAAAGTTACTGGGAGAAAACGGCGAAAATCAGTAGCCCTCGGCACTTAGAGCCCTCAGCACTAAGGAGGTCCCCGGTACTCAGAGCCCTCGGCTAGTCACCTACAGCCGAGGGCCCCTTTCTGGACATAATATCCACTCCACATGCGCCTGGATCACCATACCAAGTACGACGTCACATCCAACAGCCGCATTAAATGCGGCCACATGCGATTGCCGGCGCCAACCAGTTGAGGTGACCCCTCGGCCAATGGATGCTTGACATGTGTCCCTATCTGGCATTTATTACTACTATAAATAGCACCCCATTTCCCCATTTGTAACCGAGAAGCAAAATACGCTGAATACATATCTGATATACACTCTCTCTCTCTTACTTATTTGCTTTGACTTCTCCCTAGTTGTTCCCCACAATAATCCCTCGGGTAAGCTACCCCCCGGGTACACTATCCATCATTTGGTGCTCTCGTTTAGAGGTCGAATAATCAAGTAAGAAACCCTCCCCTCGCCAAACACAAAACATCTAGCTAAAATGGTGAGAACAACTCGTGCCAACTCCAAGAACGTTGAGGACAGGAACCTGGCCCTCGGCGAAGTCGACGTCCCCTAAGCCTCTAACAGGGCTCCTGAGGGCGGCGTCATCGTCGGGTTGGACCAGACGGCTGTCGACCTACGCCATCAGTTTCAACAAAATGCCCCCGATGCCCGCCTGGGCATCGAGGCCAAGAAGAAGGATCGGAGCGAGAACCAAGTTAGCCCTCCGGTAATTACTATCGACGTACAATCGGCGTTTTCCGCCTTCATCCAGACGTTCACCCAGAATCCAGGTGCCTTCGACACATTGGTTCCCCTCCAACCTCAGGTCGGGGAGAATGTCATGCCTCCCCCTCATCCACACCCCCTCGGGAACCCAGTCCTCCGAATTGGGAACGTCGAAGGGGTCGTGGCCCAAGATACGGCCTCCCAGGAAGTCCAGTGCCGGGACCGCCACAACGTGAACAAAGAACAACACCGGACCTCCGCCCTCGAGAGACTTGGAGGGGCGCAAGACCGCCGAGGGGTCCAAGACTGCCTCGGGGGGAAGGCGTTCCAGAGGCCTCAAGAAAGTGGCAGATCCGTCTCCAGGGCCAATGAAAGACATCCCCCTCTGGACAAAGGCAAGACACCTCTCCATGCCGACGACGCCCTCCACCAAATCAACCAGGCCCACTCGGCTCGTGTCCATTCACAGGGGGCGGAGGCCCTCCCGAAGGACCCCCGGGACGAAATCATTGCGGCCCTCCAACGCCGGCTTGACGAGATGGAGGCCACCAAAGCACACACCACCACTTCTACCCCTCATACAGACCTCAAGTATGAGGCGATGTTGGCCAAGATGGAGGAAATGCAGAAGAAGATAACTGAGGGCTCTGGGGAACCCACCATACAGCTCCGGACCCGGACGCGATTTACCCCAAGGGAAAACTGACCAAAACATGATGGTGGGGGCATCAGATGAGTATTTGTGCCGCTGGTTCCTCTCCACCTTAGAGGGGCCGGCTTACGAATGGTTCAATCGATTGCCCGAGGGCTGCATTGACTCATGGCAAGAACTCGCACAGCGATTCTTGACGCAATTTGCGGGAATACGCCGCACAAGAAAACACTTCTCCCACTTGCTGACAGTAAGGCAGAGGAAGGAGGAGACCCTTCTGGACTTCTTGGAGCGCCGGAGAACGGAGGCTGATAAAGTTGATGGCGCTGACGACGGGACCCTCCTGGCCCTCCTCCAAACAGTACTCTGCCCCGGGAACTTCTCAAGGAGCCTCATCATCGAACCCCCCGCGATTATATAAGGGCCCTACAGCGGGGGGATAGGTATGCCGAAGCCGAGGAGGTGGAGAAATGCCATCACAACCCCGATCAGCAACGCCCTCAGCCAGACGACAAAGGCAACCGGGGGCCGGGGGCTCCCCGTAACCAACCCAAGGATTCAGTACCCCCCGGTGATCGCCCCCGGCATGGCCAAGCCAAGCCCGGGGGAGGTTACAAAGGAAACCCGAGGGCTTGGGCACAACCTGTTCTCCTGGAGCACCCTCGGACACCTTTGACGCACCCCGTCAGCGTCATCCTTGATTTCGCTGAGGAGAGGGGCCTGGTGGAGCGAGATTCCCGCGCACCCCCGGAAGTATATGCCATCAATCCAAACTACCCCTACTGTCGCTTCCACCGGCATCAAGGGCACAGAACCGATGACTGTCATCAGCTGAAGACGGCCATCGAAAGGTTGATACAAGCGGGCCATCTGTCCCAGTTTATTCAGGGCCCTCAGCAACAGGGCCCCCCTCACCAAGGGCCACCTCGAGGGCACCCTGTGAGAGCAAACGCATGGGTAAACCCCAACACCATCCCCCTCGGCAAGAAGAGGGAGATTGGGAACCTGGAAGAAGAGGAGGAGGAGTACCCTCGGTACTAAGAAAAGAAGCGCCACATCCTCATGATCACCGGGGGCAATACCGGGGGTGACTCTACAAGTCAACAAAAGAAGTGGGCTCAGTCACTTTACGTGGAGGAAGTCACTCATATGCCCCCAGTAAAGCGGCTGAGGAAGGAACCCATCACCTTCACTAACGCTGATCCCCCCCAGTGTCCTCCCCACACAGGGATGCCCTCGTCATCCGCACAAAGATCAATGACACTATAATTCACCGAACTTACATTGACACGGGCAGCTCCGTCAATGTAATGTACCTCAGTACCTTCAGAGAGCTGCATCTGGAGAGGAGGTCCCTTCGGCCCATCAAGACCCCTCTTGCCGGCTTCACCGGCGACACCATTGATTCCGAGGGGGTTATAACCCTCCCGGTGCTCTTCGGCGACGGGCTCCATAGAGCCAAGCTCGAGGTGGAGTTCGTCGTCGTCAACATCGACTGCGCCCACAACATCATCCTCGGCCGGCCAGCCCTCGAGGATCTCGAAGTCGTCATCTCCATGAGGCACCTCTGCCTCAAGTTCCCAGCCGAGGGGGGAATCGGTTACTCAAGGGGAAACCAAAAACTTGCCCGCGCTTGCTACCTTCAAGTGACGAAGAAGGTTAGCAATACGGAGTTCCGCGTTGAAACCATCACCGAAACTGTGGAAGCGGAAGAAAGGAGGCCGAAGGCTGAACCAGCCGAGGAGGTAGAAGACTTTGTGCTCGATCCGGCCAATCCGGAGAGAGTCGTGAAGATTGGAGCCAAGCTCCCTGAAGACTTGAAGACCGGCATCATCAGTGCCCTCCGCGCCTACTCCATTGTTTTCACATGGGGGCCAGAGGACATGTCGGGGATCAGCCGAAGGGTCATCACCCACCGCCTCTCGGTGGACCCTTCGGCCAAACCAGTACAACAGCGGAGGAGACCCCTCTCGGCTGAGAGGAGGGAATTTGTGAAGAAGGAGGTCGC